TTCGTGACATAGAGTAATGAATTATAACCCTCCAATCTGCGCAATCTTTTTGGGGTCACCCATGATAACCTCCAAAAGTGGCGCAAACACAGAAAAATGAAGCCTTGAAACACTGACACACAATTTTTTTTTGCCCGCATGGGATGTTTTACCCTTACCCCTATGGCTTGTAGTTCCCAATCAGTTTCCAATACTAACTAACCGGTATGGAACCAATTTAGATAACAATCGTGCATACAAGCACAATAAGGCCATAGTTCCGCTGATGTTTTTTGGCGATACGGTAGCGGAACAGGACGATTTGATCTACAGTCGACGACTTGTTGGGCTTAATTTGAGTGGGGGGAGGGAGGGTCCTAAAGAGAAATTGGAGATGTGTGGTTTGTACCACTGACCGCCTGTGACCAGCCGTGTCGTCTAATCTCTTAACGCACCCATGTTAGGTAAACATCCGTAAGCGTCGTGTTGTTTTGCACCAGATCAGCTTCAACCGCATACAAACCAGCACTCGAAGGTGTGCGCAGTTGTTGACCTACCGATCGATACCGATCAACGTCATCTGACCTATGGTGATGACTGGTGATGCTGGTGAGGAACGGTGTTGATGGTGATGATGGTGAGGAACGGTGTTGATGGTGCTATTGGTGAGGAATGGTGATGATGGTGATGCTGCTGAGTCCATCCATAGCTTCGCCGAGTTTTTCTGCCTGAAGCGGCAACTGAGCGCAGCTGCAAAAGCGCTAGAAAAAGTATAAAAGCTGTGATTGGATTACGGTAGCTCCAATAACGAAATCTTCGTCATAGGCGCTTTTCTTCGCTTTCTGTTCTATTCTCTGCTTTTTACGTGCGAGAAAATCTAAACAATAGCGACAAAACCATTCAGAGCCACTTTCTTTGTGCAAGCTGCAGGCGCTAGGCATCATTGCAGATTTTCTTCAAAAAGTATTCGTTTTTTGTGCTATCAGGTCTCAAATTTAAGCATCATTTTTCTTGCTACTCCTGCACTCTCCCCGCCCCTCTCACCCCT